TAGGAAGAACAGGTGACCAAGCCACCCCCATGTTCAGCACTTGTAAGCTGTCAACCAATCTCCTTAAATCTGATTCATCCTCCAAGGGAAATGGGGCTGGCACTTTTCACGCCACTACTGCGAGGCTTGTGAGATAAACAGAGAGATGAGTGGGAAACCCTTGATGAGGTCTCTGCTCTTCCTTCCTACAGACGATATACCTGAGATGCCCACGAGGCCCTCTCCAGCCAGAAATTAGTCCCCACTCGCTGGCTGTTCATTCATGAGTTCGCTGAATAAACACTTGGCGGGGGCTGAAACTTTTGTCAGACCAAACAGAGGCGTGGATGGCACGGGAGGAGGCTCCTGTCCTCCAGATGTGAGGCCAGACAGCAATCTGGTGCTCCTTCTTCTCCGCCTAATTCTACCCGGTCTTGGGTGTCTGCGGGGAGAGACCTCCGCGCCCCCTTTCTCTGCCGAGAGCAGCAGAAGAAGCGAGGTGTGGCGTTGAGTACGAGACAGCCAGGCCCCGACGCCCTTCCCAGGAGCAGAGCCAGGCCCTCGCGGGCCCACAGGGGACCGGCTGGAGCAGTCCTTCCTGAATGTCTGCCTCAGACAATGAGGCTCTTTCAGCCCAGGGCACCAGCAGCTAATCGCAGTATTTTTCAAACAAATTTAAACAGGGCTTCAGAACAATTGCCCCAGGAGAAATGGGTGTGCAGCTTGTGCACCGGCTCCTGCACACAGGGCCAGGGCGTGCCTGCAGTAAGAGAAGGCCTCTGGAAAGCAGACTGGCCAGTCACACACACCTAGACGATGGCAGCGCTTGGGGGCTCAGAGCGCTTTATACACAGGCATCCAGCTAGGCAGTGAGTCAACACCAGAACTGAATTCCCCTTATACCACAGCCAGTTTTCTCCACACTTCTGCAGCTCCAAAGAATAGTTCTGTGTTTCTCTCTGTAACGCAGGGTAACCAGTTGAAACAGCTCCCATGAAGGGCCTGGGAAGTCTTGCTCTGAAAAAGATCATGAGCGTCAACACAGAACAGATTTCTACATTAAAGTCATATTTCCACCTCTTATCTCACAGCAACCCTTTACAGAGAGGGAGAATCGGTTGCAAAACCCATTCACAGACGAGAAAATGAAGATTTGGAAGTCGTTGTGACGTAGGAAGGCACCGTGCTTTTCAAATCAGACAGGAGCAGTTCTGCCAGTGCCTGGACCAGGGCCTTTCTACTCTCAAAGACCTTTCTTCATTAGTTAGAGTTTGAATCTTGAAGACATAAAGCAGCAAAGACCCGTGCCTGAGCTTGCTGTCCTACATCCCTTTAAATAATTTTCATGTAACCTAGAGGTGCGGTGGCCTGGCTTCCAGTGCATGACTGCAGGCTTGGTGCGGGGCATCGCAGGGCTGGAGCACAGTGCCTTAATTTCCCCTGATGACCGAAAAGCAAACAGGGACATGGAAGAGGTGGCCAGAGTGGGGCAGCAGGGTGCCGAAAGGGAAGCCTGGCCAGCAGGAGAAAGCACGATGAGTCTGCCGCTATAGTTCTCCCCTCTGTCATCTCTGATGCCCTTGCGGCCCTTTCGCCTGTGCCCTTCTCTGCCTATCCTGCCACCGGCTTAAGGAAAACCCAATCGCTGTAAAAGCTCCGCCCCAAGAGCAGGCGCTGCTGTCATCAAATTCTGTGCTGGTCAGAGGTGCACACTCCAGTGAGGCTGTGGAGAAACAGGGTCTGCCACACACTGCCGCTGTCACCTGGAAGACGGGATCAAGGTTCCTCAGAAAAACTAGAACTAGAGCCACCGTGTGGTTGGGCGATCCAGTCTCTGGGTACACATGCAAAGGAAATGAAAGCCATATCCAAAGGACTCTGTACTCCGGGGTTCACTGCAGCAACATTCCCAGAAGGCCAGAGATGGAATCAACTCGGCTGTCCATCATCGGATGAATGGATAAGGAAAATGTATATAAATACACAAAGGAATATTATACAGTGGTGGAAAAGAATGGAATGTTGTTATCTGTGGCCACAGGCATGAGCCCAGAGGGTGCTGCACTGGGTCAAATAAGCGTGGCACAGAAAGGCGAACACTGCATGTCCTCCCATATATGGAAACTAAAAAAGTTAATCTCTCAGAAATCGAGAGTTGTGGAGTGGAAAGGGAGGATGTGGAGCACATGGATAATGTACAGGGCGTACAGCTGGAATAAAGGCATAACTTCTAAGGTTCCATTGCGCAGCAGGGGCAGCATAACTGATAGCAATTAACTGTATACTTATGAATAGCCAGAAGAAAGAATATTGAATGCTTCCAAGGCAAAGGAATAAGTATTTGAGGGATGAATATATCAGTTACAGAGGCCTGAACATTACAAATGTGTATATGTAGTAAAATAGCATTCTGTCCTCCATAAATATGTATGATTACTGTGTCAACATAACTTTTAAAAGAATAGTGCCAGTAGGTAACACTGACAGAGAGCTTCTAGATAGTATCTTGAGCACTGTACATAAAGTAACATAGTATTTGTGTGCACTGGAGGCAAATCTACAGGGTGTGGGATCACTAGCTTCACCCACGTTTTATAAATGAGGAAACTGAGGCATGCAGGGGTGGGGGACACTTTTCCCAGTTCGTGGCAGCAGAGATACCGTGCTCAAGTTTGATCCCTGGATACCTAATTCTCTGCTAAGATACTGAATGCATGGAGATGGGCGGATGTGTTTCCTTTCACCGGGGGGGCAGCTTTCCACACAGAGAAGAGAGCGTTTTGCCCATGGTCAAGGACTCCTCCGGCGAGAGATGGTCTCCGCTTTCCGGAAGCTCTGGGGTCACATCTCTTCGTGACCAAAACCAGAGTGCATGCTGGTCAGTCTTCCGAGCTACTTGCACACGAAGCAGGAATGAGGGTCCCCAGGACTGCGGAGACCTTTGCTTGACCCTGAGCCCCCCAACACCCTGAGTGGTGGCCTAGGACACAGGGGAGTCCTAGCTCCCCAGGCAGCTGCCCTGGACCAGCCCGACCCAGCCTCGCCGAACTCTGGAGCAGACTAACCTTGGATGAGGCTGAAGTCCCAGGTGTCCTGAACCGAGGCCCCCGTGCGGCAAACCTCAAAGGCACCAACGTCCCAGTCCCGGAACCCAATTCGGGCCCCGTTAGGGCCCCGAGCCCTTCAGTGGCCACCGTGGTGCGGGTGTCCAGGCCGCCAACTGAGCACTTGTCCTCCCAGAGGAAGCCATTTGACCCAATTCCCGAGCTGAACGATGGTGCCAGGCCCAAGGGCATCCAAAAGTCAATTTCTTGCTACATTGTAAACAGATTTGTAGCAAACTTGGGAAGCACTACCAAAAGAAATTTTTAAAGACATGATCTTGAGTAGTATCATAATCCAAACAGAACACTGTGGCAGTAAAGATCACTAAGCAAATACAATTTATTGACTAATATTTTTCCATTTGCTACACTCAAATTGAGTTCATATTATGAAAAATTCTATTTTTTATATCTATATAATAATCTACTTATAATCAGTGCAGTGCTGGCTTCATAGCATTGAACATTTAGGAAGCATCTGATTTTTTAACAATTATAAGCAATGCTGAAATATGTCCCTTTTTACATCAACCTGGGCTTCAATTATTAAAAATTTAGTTCAGATACATTCTCAAATATAAGAAATGTGCTTCGGGGCCAGGGACGTAGCTCAGCGGCGGAGCGCCTGTCTGGCAAACGCGAGGCCCGGGGTTCCATTCTGGTACAAAAGAAAAAAGAAGGAGGAGGTGGGGGGAGGGGAGGAGGAAGAGGAGTAGGGGGGAGGAGAAGAAGAGGAAGGGAGAGGAGGAATCGTAGCTCAGCGGCGGAGCGCCTGTCTGGCAAACGCGAGGCCCTGGGTTCCATTGTGGTACAAAAGAAAAAAGAAGGAGGAGGTGGGGGGAGGGGAGGAGGAAGAGGAGGAGGGGGGAGAAGAAGAAGAGGAAGGGGAAGAGGAGGAAAAAGAAGTGTACTTTTACTATTATTCTATGCTACCTTTTTTTTTTTAATTAAGGCCTTTCTTCTCCACCTCTACCACCCCACCGGAACCTCTCCTGCCTTCTCTGGGAAGCCCCGAGTTGCCCTCTACACCTTGAGACCCTAGATCTGGGGAGCAGGGTGCGGAGTGCACGCCTGCCTGCCTGGCTTTGGCTCGGGTGCCTGCTTTCCTCACTGCCGGATGACTCTGAGGCAGGCACCCGAGCCTCACACCACATCTGCTGACTTGGGAAATGGACACTGGCACTGCCTCCCTCGAGAGATTGACGGGAAGATCAAAGAGTTCAAACCCATGACGTGGAAGCCAGCGTGGGTCAGTAAAGGCCAGCTGCTCCGGCCTCAGCCATCCTGGCAGATTCTGAAAGCTTTGGAAGGAACACACAAAGGAAAGGAAAATCTCATTGCTTATGTGGACTTGAGTTTTGGTTTTGGTTTCTTTTTTTTTTTTTTTTT